CACTTTTCTGGGTGGGCACTGGGTTGCTTCCATATGTTTCTGCATTTGATTCTTTAGTGCAGATGTTATTAATTCAGGGATTTCTTTTTTTCATTTCTAATCTGAGGTATTCTATATCTTTCTGCAGCTATTTATTTCAGAAGCTGTTGATTCATTGCTTTCAATTGTGTGATTACCAATTTGTTCTGTGTGAGTGTCCTCTGCACTTGTATTGGTGGGCTTGGGTTCTGAGGTTGCATTTTTTTCCTTCTCATCATTTTGTGTAGCACTGTCTTCTGCTCTTTGCTGTAGATCTTTTTTGTAGTTGTAACCTTCACACGTACTGAAGTTCAGGTGGAGCTCTACAGAGTTTGGACTTATCCAGCTGCGTCTGGCTTAGGTCTGGCTGCAGTGCTCAGCTCCTTCCCGCTGCGGACCTGATGTAGGCCTGGGTCTGGGGGTTCCCAGAACTCGGCAGAAATTCCTACTCAGCAGGAGGGGCGGGGGAGGTATGTCTGAGTGGTGGAGGGCGGCCCAAGGTGTTGGGAGAGGGTCCGGCCCACGCTGCGCCTGGGCTGGGACTGCTCCCGCCGGCGCATGGTAGCTGGAAGCTCTCCACACACTCACCGGACCTGAGCTAGGAATGGGTCTGGGTTTCCCCTACCTGGATTAATTTAATTCCTGCATTCCATTCCTTGCTCTAATGGTGGCATGGCCATTGTTTGGGCGAACTCAGTGGTAGTGCCACAGCACACAATACTCCAAAGCAAAGGTGTGGCATGTGAACAGGGAGTCCTCATGGGTTATCATTCAGGTCTTGCGCTCAATTTTCTTTGATCATGAAGAACACATTTTAAAGGGAAATTGACCCCTTCTTTCTGGCCTTGACATGTGTTTCTTGATATATGAAGAAGTAAAATTTCATTTGAATTTAGAGTCTTTTTCCCTTGTTCAGTCTTATATTATAGTTACTGTGCCTATGGTGTTTTGCTTTTCTCTTTTTATCCTCATGAATTAATAACTCCACTGTGGTCCCCACTACATAGTCTCTATTTCAATAAAAAAAAAACGTGGAAATAAAATAGAACATGGTCTGGGCTTGGTGGCATAAACCTGTAATCCCAGTACTCAGGAGGCAGAGGCAGGAAGATTACCTTGAATTTGAGGCCAGTCTGGACTACATGATGAGACCCTGTCTCAAAACAACATCTACAACAAGAACAAGAACAAGATCAAGAACAAGAACAAGAACAAGAACAAGAACAAGAACAAGAACAAGAGCAAGCAAAGAAAACAACAAAAGAATAGAGTATGGTCAAAATACTGTCCGTAATTACCTCTCTCATGTTTTTCTGCAACACAGGTGTATGGAGCTTGTGTTCATATTGCTCAACCTTCTTGACAATAAGCTTTTTGAAAAATCCTCACTTCCATTTTGCATGAGGTACTACCAATCACTCATTCACAAATATTTGCTGAACATCTGCTATGTGTTCAATAGTACATATGGTGCCTCAAGCACTGAGAACTGGGATACCATACTAGTGGTCAAAGTATTATTAGAATTTATCATTTTTTAAAATGTACAGGTATGTGTTTGTTTTTATTTTCCAGTAAGTGCATTCCTGAAGGTCAGATCTGTTTGATTTCTTTTCCTTGTTCTTACAGCCTTTCATAAAGCTTAGATTCATAGAAGTCACTCTCTTTTTTGTATTTTGTGTTATTTTCATAAATATTTGATAAATGAACAAATATACAACTAAAGTGACTGCTTATAGACACACATAAGGAAGCCATCCTTAACACCAGATGTTCCCTCATGTCTGTCCTGTTAAATTGAAATTCCACCAGTGTTATTACTTTCTTTGTGGCTTTGATTTCCAGTTATCTGTTAAAGTGGGGCACCTCTTTCTGGTGAGGGCTAGGCTATGAACCACAACATATAAGCTATTAGGCTGCTTTTGCCACCTGTTAGCATACTCAGGATTACTTTGTTAAAGAAAATGTACTTTGAGAGTGTGAGGAAGGTCTTGGGCAATGAGTCACTTGGCTTAGTTTTGCCGTATGAAATACTGAATCATTGTGGAGTGGGCAGAAGAGGGATGTGCTCACAGGATGCAGTGCTGTCAGAATACAGAGCCCTGGGAGGATGGTCTCCAAGATCACTGTCTAACCAGGAGAATAAGGCTCTCAGGATGTGATGTGGTTGGTCCTCATTCTCCCTGAGGTTTGTGATAGGGAAAAACACCAGAAGAACCACAAATCTTATATAGGCTTTCAGGTAGGGAGAAGTTAAGGTAGGTTGAAAAAGTGCCTGTGGGTTGCAGAAGGATGCTGGAAGGACTGCCTCCTACTCATGCATTTCCCTGCTTTATAGAATAAAGAGGACAGGTCCTGAAGAATGTGGTGGAAGGGTAGGGGAAGCTTTGGGGTCAGCAAACTAAAGGACAGTGTAGATCATGTTCTTTTCACAGAAAATCCATACATTAGCTATAGGGACTTGACTTAGTAGAGACAAGTGAGAGGAAGTCTGTACTCAGCTCTATGGCTGGTCACAGTCTGATTGTGTCTGTCTCAGTAGCCACTACACCATTGAATGTGGCATTTAAACACTTTGTGTTTGCATCCATGTATATTATATAAAAATTATAGAGGACCTCCTGCCTAGCTTGGTTGATTGTTGTTAGAAGCAAATACTGTAAATGATGCCATGTACATGAAAGGATTTGAAGGAGTTATAAAATAATGAACAAATTCAAAATGTGCAAAGAACTCACTAATGAATATTCTGAGTCAGCATGTAGAATCATTCTGGCCATGGTAGAAATCTCTGTTGAACAGATTAGAGCCGATCAATCCCCAGAATTGTTTCTTCTTCCAGTAAACACCTGACAAGAAGCATATCCATAAGCTCTGAAGGTGACCTCATCCAGAATTGATTGAAGATCCTCTCTTGTCTTCTAGGATGGACTGATGGAGGTTGAAGTTGCTGGCCTTGTGGGAACCCTGTATTCAGAGGAAGAAAATGTCGTAGAATATAATAACCTGTGTCCTAGAAAGCAATAACCCATGTGTGGGTGGGAAGTCCTGCAAGGGGAAGATAACTGAAAGCAGGCAGTGTGAAGATGGAGAGCTGGAGCATTTGCAGTAATGCACCAGACCTCTGGGCAGTTGCATGAACACAGTGGCCTTGGCAGTAGGAATAGAGTGCACAATGGCTGCATGGAAAGGCTAAGAAAGGACATGGTGTGCTGACTTTTATTAGTGACTGCTTTACCCTGCAGCATTGTGTTCATTGGTGATGGTGGGGGAATATTGTGGCAGTCTTGTATTTGTGTGTGTAGATTTTTCTGACACCAGTGAAGCATATGGCTGGGTAAGTAGTTAGAGTTCAACTGAGTGTGTGTGTATGTAAAACCTAACATTTTCTTAGACATGTTTCAGTGCATAAAGATTACATTCATCATGGGGAGTTAGTCCGAGTGGATATGAACAGCAGCTTTGACATTGGCCAATCTGCCATCTATCTGCTAACCTATTTGTATAACCTATCTGTATAACTGTGGCTAAGTTACTTGCCTTAACTCCAAGATTCTAGTGATCAAGCTTAAATATCACATGATTTCTCTTCTATGGGAAACCCAAAGCAAAAATAGTTAAAGAACAAAATAAAAAATATGTAATAGGGAAAGAGGTATTTTATAAAATGAAAGACACCAAGAGATGGAGGCAGGAGAGAGGGGAAGGGAAAGGGATGAAAGAAAGAACTGAGCTGTGTTGTGTACATGAGTCAAAATCACATGAGGAGGGGGAGCATGGCGCTCTGTACACATGTACCAATAAAAATTAAAGTAAATAATTTGAATAATAGCAGTAGGTAAATCTATATTAGGATGTTGTTAGAATTAAATGAGGTTAATAATAGGAAGGGATTAGTACAGTGCCTGGCACATAGTAAGCATTTAATAAACATTGTCTTTCTTTCCAGACATACTATTCCCTCTTGCTCTTAGGTTAAGTATAAAACTAGGTACCTGAGATGGAGACTATCTTCATTCATTAGCCCTGTGGTCATCTGAAGAACTTCACATTTGCAAAGAGCTTGCAAAAGTTACCTTAAAAATGTAGTTAGGGCTTACCAAGTAGCTCAGCGAATTGAAGTGCCTGTTTAGCCAGATGCAGTGACCAGATTTGATCCTTGGGCTGTGCTGGCCCAGACCCCTGGAGTGTGCTAAAATGGCAATTGAGACTGTGCAGGGTGGCACATACCTGTAATCCCAGCTCTTGGGAGGCTGAACACAGGCGGATCAGTACGAGTCTAACCTACATAGTGAGACCCTGTAGACCCTTACTAAAATTGTAAAACAAATGTGTAATTAAGCCAATGTAACCTGGTCCAGAATTTCCCATGCCACAACCCACTGTTTTTGCTGTTCTTAAAAGTTTCTTCTGATCAGGGTTTTTTAAACTTTTATTTTATTTTGAAGAGTAAAAAGAAAACAAAACCAAGTAGAAACAAAGACAGAAACAGGGTAACAAACAACAATAGATACATTGCAGCTTTTCAAAACAAGATTAGCAAATCAACAATGGTTGTTACATATCTAATTTTATCCTCAAATCTGTTATACAGATCAACAGACGTAGTTATGTGAGACTGGATACAGTTGAACATCAACACTTGCTTTCAAAAAAGTCCCATTTTTTTCTTTTTAAAAGAAAAAATTTTTCAGGGCTGGCCAGATAGCTCAGTGGACTGAAGTGCCTGCTTAGGCAGAGTGCAGCGACCAGGGTTTGATCCCCAGCATGCCAGGCTGGCCCCATCCTTAGGGCATGCTGAGATGGTATTGAGACTGGATGTGGTGGCACATGCCTGTAATCCCAGCTCTTGGGAGGCTGAACACAGACAGATCACTATGAGTCCAATCTATGTAGTGAGACTCTGTACACTCTGTACTAAATAAAAAAAATTTCAAAGACAGTCTAATAATAACTGACAAGACATCAGAAATGGTACACATCTAGAAGACCAAGATGAGAGCCATTCAACCAGGCTGATCAGGATTTTCAGAGAAAGTTCTAATAAGATAATTTGAATATCATGTAAGTTAGAGAAAGAGGTAATCTGCTTGGGGACATGGTAGAAGGGGCTGTGGTGGGATGTCTTATTTCTAGGTCTTCCATGCTTTGTAATCTGATGACAATCAGTATCTCCTGGCTGAGGAGACTGAAAGCATATACTAAAGTGTAAAAAACAGAGCTGGTCCTGCCTGGCTTGGTGGTTCACATCTGTAATTCACTGCTCTGGAGGCTGAGGCAGAAGGCTTGCAGCAAGTGTGAGCCAGCTTCAGTACATAGTGAGTTCAAGGCCAGGCTGAACTAGGTAGTGACACCCTGCCTTGAAACACAAAAAAAGGTGTTGGCTTTAACCTCCAGAGAGGTTGAAGATCTCAGTGGGGCTCTCTCTCTGAGCAGATCTAGTTTCCGTACCTTTTGTTATGGGTCACTCAGAATAGGAACCAGATCAGCCAGGTTGGAATTTGGAAAGCCATTTATTACTGCGCTCAGGGCCCCCCAGTCTGCTCTCACGCAGGAGAGGACCGAAAGGTGGCAGCCCAGAAAGCAGGAAGGGGTTTTAAACCCTGGAACCATATTGAGTTTGATAAGCAAATTTATTGAATGACCACATTCAGTTTGGTAAACAAATTTATTGTCTGACACAAAATAATGCTTTCAGAGTGATTGGGACCACAACTCAAACTACATTTCTGGGGATTTTGTTTTAGTTTCTGGTTAATTTGCACCTGAGTATCTGCAGGCAGCCTTGCATAGCCCGGAGGTTACAAGAAGTTAAAGCCCATCTAATTTCCTTTTGAAGTCATCTCTGTAAGCTAACTTTGGTAACAGGAATTGGTGAGGGTTACAGGAATTTTATCTTAGCAAAGAGCAAGAAACAACCACTAGTTACTAAACAACTTAGAACAGTGGTGAGTATACATTTACAACAGAAAGCACAAGATTTACATTTATAATCTAAAACGTGAGTTGACTCATTACACCTTTAGCTATAAAGCTGGAGAGAGGGGTGCTTCCTTAGGAAGAACTGAAAGTCTTCCTTCTTGTTGGGCTCTTCTGCTTTTGTTTTTTTCTTTGTGTGGTACCAGGGATCGAACTCCAGACCTTAAGCTTGCCAGACAGGTGCTTATGGCACTGAGCTATATCCCCAGCCTGAGTCTTCCTTCTTATTGGTGCTCTGAAGAAGGGAAGTGTCCTTCTCACTACAAACAGGAAAATTTTGCTCAACACTTCACAATTCTGATTTCCTTGAATTGTTGAAAAAAAAAAAAAAGCAAGGAATTGAACTGGGAAGCAGGCAACACTCTGTGTGTTTTCCCTCAGTTTTTGGGTCTCTAGAGCACAGATTATACCTGTGGCATACTGACCTCTCTCAGAGGTGTACTATTGAAATCTACTGCTTAATGGTGGATGACATCATTATCATTGCAGTACTACAAATTCTCCCTGGGAGTGATTTTGTTGATGGTAAATTATCAAGGTTAGGATTCTTGTAGGTTTAGGATTGTTGCCTCAAATCTTATCAATTTTTTTTATCTAAGAATGTGCTATCACTTATATGCATTGAAGAAATAATGTAAACATTGTAACTCTCTCTTCTTGTTTAATACCTTATGAGAGGTAGAAAGAGCACGACTGTGGAGGTCCAACCTGCTGGGCATGCATCTAGACCTGGTATTTATTAGTTCACAATCTTAGACAAGTTATGGAAACTTTCTGCATCATTGTTACTTTCTAAATGTCTCAATCCGTTGCTACCTATATACTTGTATTGAGCTGAAGCACATGCGCAAAGCAACAGCCATTTTACCTGGCACATAGGAAATGCTTAGTAAGTGGTAGTAATTACAAGTTTATGTCTTCTGACTTTTGGGATCATTAACTTTTTCTGCATTTTCAACACAAAATCAATTCTATGTTAAAGGAATGTCAGAGCCCATTAACAGGAAAAGAGTTTTGAAACTGGTGAGCCTTGGAGTCATAAATCAGATGTGCTGTCCAAAGACTTATTTTTTCTTTTCTTTCTATTTTATTAGTACATGCTTACCATACATAATATTGGTAGTCAATATACAAATACAATACTTCTAATTTATTTATTTATTTATTTAAATTTGGCAGAACCGGGGATTGAACTCAGGCCTCTGCGCTTGCCAAGGAAGCGCTTATTCAATTGAACCATCTCCCCGACCCCATACTTCTAATTAAAAAAAAACAAACAAAAAAAAACACTTCTCATCCCCTCCTCCTCCTCTCTTCCCCTGCTCCCTACAACTTTGGTCCTCTTTCCATCTGAAGACATTCTGTTTTCCTCATGATTTTCCCTTCAGTTCTTTTCTTTTCCATCCCTTTGGACCTTCTCTCTTGGCTGCTTTTGAATACACTAATCAAGTAGCTATTTAAATTACTGTCTTTTTTTTTTTTTTTAGTTCAAGACTTTTTTTTTTTTTTTTTTTTTGGGCTGGCACAGGATGCCTTCAGGGCGGGTCTGGCAAGGCTTGAGGATCTGGGGCTTGAACCACAGCATCCTGAGCCTGACTGCTTTGCTGAAGTACTCACTTAAATGATTGATCTAATGGGCAGGCCCCCTAAATTACAGTCTTTTAATGTACCAATTTTGTATTTGAATTTTCTTTCTTTCTTTTTTTTTTTTTTGTATTTGAATTTTCTAACATAAGATATGTGCAGATATTTGGTTCTAAGTAGAACAAAAGTGTTACCTGACACTTTGTATGTCTTCAGGTACAAAGGAAAAATTCAATTTTTTTTTAAACAGGGGATTGAACTCAGGCCCTTGCACTTGCCATGGAAGCACTTATTCCACTGAGCCATCTCCCCAGCCCCTCAAAATATTTTTTAAACTGTAGAATTCAGCCACATTAATCACCTTTTTTCCGCCTCTCTTTCCAAATTGCTCAAACCACATTGCTTTCCTTTGTCTTTCATCCCAAAAACATTCTGTTCATTGCCTCCTGCACTGAAAGATGGATCTGTTCAAGTTGGTTACAAAAAAAAAAAAAAAAACATATGACCTTAAAATATCCTAAGTTCTATATTTCCATTGGACCATTATCTATCTTTCATATATTTGAAATAGAGCTAAAAATACATTTGGACTTTAGCTTTAGTAGTAAAAGTCTTGGTTTGTGACTTTTGCTTTTTGGCCCAAGGTGATTCAGACTTTACAGAAATCAGAATACCTTCTGTGTTGTGGGAAATAATTCCTGGCACACACTGAATTAGAAGTGTAGCCATAGGGGGCCTGGCCCTAGCTCAGGCCTTTAAGTGGCTGCTTCCACAAAGCTGTCAGCCTCAGGTTGCTGGAGTTTGAACCTCACAACTCTCCCGCTGGCCAAAAGTGCCCTGAAGGCATTCGAAGAACAAAAAAAAAAAAAAAAAAAAAAAAAAAAAAAAAAAAAAAAAAAAAAAAAAAAGTGTAGCCATATTGGAGGGCTACAGAACATTGCCACTGTGAACATAAAGAATCTACAAATAAGTTTCCTTTTTCTTGTCAATGAAAAAAGTCTTTAAAAATGGTAAATGTGGGGCTTGAAATAAAGAATTAGGTTTATTCCAGGAGTGAAAAGATGTTTAGCCCAGCCTGTGTTGAGATACGTGTCACTGCACAGTTTCTGGTTCAGAAAGGAATAGCAGTCATCTGCCATTGAACAATTTTGGGACTTGATTTGGCTTTGGGATGATATAATTTAGGCATATTTCCAGCCTTTCTCGTGGTGAGGACTTGGCTCCCAAATCCTAGAAAGATTTCATCATGGTTCACACAGAAGATCACTCCTTGGGATGCTCTCAGTGCTGCCACTCTTACCTGTGTCATGAAGGATTTTGCCTTGCAAGCTCCCAGCTCTTGAACAGCTATAACCACTTAGAATTGCTGAAGTTCCCCCAAACACAGGTACTGTGGAGAGAAAGAATAAGAGAACATAGCATCTCCAGTGCCCATTCTGTCCCACTGGAGTCACCATAATCCATGAGCTCCTGCAGAAACTGGCTCAGAGAGTGAAGCCAAGGAAATATAGAACCCTTAAGCCACAAAAATGTTGACAGATTCTTGTACTGGATTTTTCTTAATTTTTTTTTTTTATTTTATAGAAGGGTCTACAGGGTGTTCACAGTCTTACTACTAGATTGGACTTGTGGTGAGCCACCTGTTTACAGCCTCCCAAGAGCTGGGATTACAGATTCACGCCACCACGCTCAGTCTCAGTTGCTGTCTCAGGTTGCCCTGGAGGTGGGACCAGCACTGCAGGCCCGGGGATCAAACCCTGGCCCCTGTGCCTGCTTGCAGGCACTTTAATCCATTGAGCTATTTGGCCAGTGCTGGTTTTTCAAACATTGCTAAACAAGCTAGCTGGACAGAGTTATCCAGGAAACTTAGAAACAGATTGTTGCTTACCTCTCCCCTCCACTTTTTCTGATCTGATATATTTAGGGAAGAGCATGAAATTTTGCTTTTAAAAATTGCTACAGGTTGTCCTGGCATAAAGCAACATTCAGGAAGTGCTGAGCTAGACATGCAGAAACCTATTTGCAAGGCGGAAGAAAGTTTAGATGCTAGAATCATGAATGAACTCTTCCCCATGTTCTTCAGACCTCAATACCAATGTGAGCCCTCAGTTTGTCTCCATCTTCCATGGTGGACCCAGATTGGGCCAGCCAGAGTGAAAGCCAAGGAGAAGGAGAGGGCAGGAAAGCTTGCTGCAATCCCCAGAGCTGGACTTGTCCACCTAGACATGCTCCATGCTTGAATTTCTTCTCCATCCCCAGAGTGGCAGGGAACCAGAAGGTAAGGAGGAAACAGAGTGACTCCAAATGAATACACGTGTCTTCCCCAGGTTCAGACTTTAAAATCCTTGCATCACACCATGCATCTGCTCCTCCTAGTACTATAGATTAATAAAATGTCCTTGCATCTGACTCAACCACAGCACTACTCCACATTTAAGGGTGGAGTAGAAGGGGTGAGGTGGGGAAGACCAACATTAGGTATTCCTTAAATTTATGAATGAGAGACTTGAATTTTGAATCAGCTGACAAGACTTTGAAATTTCTGTGTATTGATATTAGCACTTATGAGGTAGTATTGCCAATCCACAGCCCTCTTCTAAAAGTATAAAAGAAAGAAATTCCTTGAATAGTGTCCAGTAAATAAATGCTTAATATAGCTTTAATAAAATGCTTAGTGTAGCGCATAGTATTTTGGGACTTTAATCAATGTATTATATTATAGTAATCAATACATTATATATACATGCCATTAATGGCTTTATCTTAATTAGTGGTAGTAGTAATGTTGAAGAGTACTATCCATAGAAAATAAGTTATAGACAATTTCCAAAATGAGTTGATGGAATGTAGATTGTCTGATGACTATAAGAAGCTACTATTTATAGGGAAAATCAAAATAAAATAAATAATTTATTAATGCAAAATAGACAAATGCATCCTTTCTTTAGTTTTATTTTGGTTTAGGGTTAGTTAGGATGCCAGGTTTCCTGATAGGGAAAACATAGTGTATACTAGGAATGCAGGATATTCTCTTGTTGGGGATGCTGTTGCCAGATATGGAGAGATTTAGAGAGGGTTGTTGGGGAAATGCATTGTCAGAGGGAGTAGTATTGTTTATTCTAAGTTACTTTCCTGTCACTGGGACACAATCCTTGGCCCCACAGTTTAATGGAGGGGATTAGTCTTGGCTCCTGGTTGCAGATCAGCTGGCTCCCAGGAAGGCACAGGATAGCAGAGGTACCAGGTGCAGGGGAGGTGTTCAGCCCGTGGCACCTAGGAAACTAAGAGGGAGAGGACCGAGCTCAGGTTGCTATGCCACACTCCCAGTGACCCACCTCTGTCCAGCCCCTCCTCCCCAACAGCACATCTAGCTGTGGGATTCATCAGTGGGGGAAGCCACTGATGAGAGGAGTGTCCCAAGAGCTATTCCGTTTTCTTTCTTGTAAAAAAAAAAATTTTATCAGCACATGTTTGTGGTATGGAGCATTGGTACATATGCATATTGCATCTTAGTAATTTTTAGTTCCCCTTCCCCTCATCTTCCTCTCTTCCTCCATCCCTTAAACACTTGGTTTTTGAGGGGTACTTTAGATCTAAAACAGAACACAGTATGCAGTTTAATATGAAAGAATATGTGGGAGAAAATGAAAAAGATGAATAACTACTTACTGTGTGTCCCACGTCTTGACCTCCTTTTCCTTAAGGGCTGATATAATTCTGCCCAGGTAGTACGATAGCATAAGCCCCTAGAATTCTCTAGTTAGTGATATTGCTGTTCAGTGAGGTAAATTTTATTGTAATTTAGAAGTTTCTGAGGCAAATTCAAATAAGTTGGGGAGCTTTCAGTCTGTGATCATGAGCATATTCTTTGGAGTTCAGTTTTGAGGGCTGTGCTTTAATCTACTTCCTTAAATGCTTTAGATCCTATTCTGTTCAGATACAGACATGTGCGTAACGGCATATGCATATTGCACCGACCTAAATTTGTCTTTGGCTTCTGTCTCAGTTGGAATATAATAAGTTTGTTCAGCAGATGGATAGACAGAGCTGTAGGAATTTATTTTTCCTAAATCAGTTGTTCTGTTCTATATGAGGAAAGTCCTAGTGCACACGTGTTCATTTCTCACTTAGGTGTATGCCTATTAGTGACATTTCTGAGTCATCTGGAATAAATACACTGGATATGAATGATTCACTAGATTCTATGAATCTTCTGAGGGCCTGTACCAGTGTACACACCTATGGGGTTGAGACATTAGATGTATTTGCAAACACTCTTTTCTCTGTTTACCTTCCTTTTTTCTTTGCTTAATTTTGAATATTTTTCTATTTATTTGTCTTTCAGTTCATTAATTCTCTGAATGGTTGTATATAGTCCACTTTTAGGAATTCTGCTGTAATCTATTTCATTTTGCAATTCCCCATTCACATTTGTCAACTTTTTAATTCAGTTTTTGGTTGAAGCTACTGTGTCATTTTTTCCCCCAATGTATTAATTGCAGCTGTTTCAAGGTTGATATCTGTGTACTTTTTAGTCTAGATTTGCTGTGGTTCTTTTCTTTTTTTAAAAACTGTTTTCATTTGTTGAATTTTGGTCAGTTCTTCTCTTTTTGAGTGTTGGACTGGTTTTGACTCAATACCATACTTTATTTATGAAAAATTAAAGAATTAACTTGAGGCTTTGGGTGATGTTGTCTTCCTTAAGAAATTAATTTTGTTGCTGGAAAACAGTGAGGCTGGTTATGAATGGCTTACCTTTATTCCCAGGATGCATCCTTTACAAGGTCCCAGTCACAAGTATGGGCTTTCTGTTAGGTCCCTTCCATTAACAGGATTGGACTCCAACTTTTGTCCCCTCACTTTATGATGCTGTTGAAAACTCTTAATAACTTTTTGTCTTGGAGCTTTAGCTCTCTCAGGTTAGTTGCCTCTCTCTCTCTCTCTCTCTCTCTCTCTCTCTCTCTCTCTCTCTCTCTCTCTTTCTCTCTCTGTGCTTGTGTATGTGTATGTGTGTTTTCTATTTATCTAACCACTTCAAGGATAAAATAATTACCAGATCTTGTAATCACCATTTTAGACTTTCCTTGGAACTTTAAGTACATACTACTTTGATAGCTCTGATTATATCAGAAATTCTCTCTCTGATTCTCTCTTATTTTCCTTGTAGGTTTGTGCAAGCTTCCTTGCTATTTGTTTTGGTGGGAAAGCTATTGTGAAATCAGTAAATCTCTTATCCCTGAAACAAATGTAGAGCTACATAATGAGTTTTCCAAGGTCACATGATGTGAGTTTTATCTCAGTGTATCTCTATCAGTACACACATATTTGTCTAATAGAAGTACTTGATAACTATAATTTCTGAATAAATTCATTGTCTTAATCACTTTTTCATCACTGAGATATAATAGCAGAAATACTCATATCTGCTTCTTCATGTAAGTGCATTCAACCTATCTCTATTGGTTGTCAAAGTTCTAACAGATCCAGCATTGCTGAGGAGACCAAGTTCAAAGTCTTTGCTGAGAAGAAAGCTAAACTTTGAACTGTGAGCCCCAGTGAGAATGAAAAAATATTAAACACTTCCAACATACAATGAAACAGGGTAAACATTTCCACTCCAAAAGGGTAAAGAGGGGGATAGAAAGAAGTGGAAACAAAGCGAGATTGAAATCCAGCAGGGAAAACGCTGAATATGACAGCTCTAAGTCCAGTACCCAGGGCAAGCTGTGGCAAGATGACAGCTCCAAAGAGTGTGAGTGGTCCCCTTGCTACGACTTTGTCGACTGTATCCTTTTGGCTTCTCTCTTGAGTTGACATGTTCTCCTTCTTAACTCTCTCAGCACATGTCCCACACTCCTGCTTTCTCCAACTTCCTGTGGTTTCTGCTATACTTTTGGCTTCACTGTTACAGCTTCATACATACACTTTCAAGGAACACACTGCCTCACCTCCCAGGCCTTCTTCTGAAATATAGGAGAAGCCTTTCTGGCCCCACAATTGTAACATTCTGTATGCCTATAAAACCAGAACCACATGGACAGTGGCAAGGTCTGCCACAAAATGGCAGGATTTTCTGTCCTTGATCTTAGTTTCCTGAAAAGTCTCAGAATACAGACAAAACAAAACAAATCTGTCAGAATATAATGCACATGGTTTTCAGTAAATCAAGAAGCAGAAACCTCTTGAGCCTGGTCTTTCTGTATTCATTTCCATCAAACTTCTGATTTTCTGAGCTCTAACCAGAATCTCCCATCAATCTCTCCTAACAAAATTCTAAGTTTTCTCTAGCTAGCATTTCTCTAGCTAGCATCACCAAATCTTTCTGATCTCTTCCTGTGAACCAGTTCCAAAGGCTTATGAACCTTATGGAACAAAACAGTCACAGAGATCCCCACTTCTCAAAATCTGTTTTAGTCACTTTTTCTTTTCTTTTCTTCTCTCTCTCTCTCTCTCTCTCTCTCTCTCTCTCTCTCTCTCTTTCTTTTTCTTTCTTTCTTTCTCTCTCTCTTTCTTTCTTTCTTTCTTTCTTTCTTTCTTTCTTTCTTCTTTCTTTCTTTTTTCTTTTTTTTGTTTTGCTGAGACAATGTCTAACACCCACAACTGAAAGAAGGTGAGGTTTATTTGAGCTCTTGGTGTTTAGAGACTTCAGTTGGTAATTGGCTGCCTCTATTGCAGAAACAGCATGTTGGAAGGTCTTGGTCAGAGGAAAGCTTCACATTCTCTGGTGGGAAGAAAGTGGAGAGAGAAGGGAGGAGTAGAGGGAGGTATACCTTTCCAGATCATGCCCACAGGGACCTCACTCTGATGAGGCCCCCTTCTGTAACAGTAAATCAGCTCTAGTCCTCCCATAATTTAGTCATCTTCTAAAAACATGAGGATTTGAAGGAACGCTCCAGATCTGAACCATGATATGAATGACTTGAGTTTTCTGAAGAACATAAAGCAGAATTAGGGTAGCATTTTGTTAACTATTCTTCAAAGTCTTTTAAAAAGATTGCAGTTTTATTTAAAAACATAAATTCTAATGTGCTATGCATATTTCTAATTTTTTTCTTCTTTTTTAAAGTAGAAGATTGAGCTAATGAGTGCAATTAAATAAGAAAGAATAGAGACAGAATATCAAAGATTGAATACTTGTGGTTACAAGGCTAAAGGTGGTACTTTAAAATATTCAGATAGTAACGAATCTAATTGAAACTAACGATATTCAAATTAATATGAGTGGGAGATTACCATATTAAAGACAGCAGTGCTGTCTGTTAGCAGTCTGGTACTAAAAATGAGCTGGGCTTTAGGACTCTATTTGTATGCTGATCCATTTAAAGTTGTTATATTGCTTTGAAGGCAGGGTGGGAAAAGGACAGCTGTTTTGATCTTCAGTATTCATTGATGGAATACACACCAGGTACTATTGGGCATGTCTTCCAAGACACCTTAAGAATGAACTGGTTTCTTCCTTGTGCTCAAGGGTGGAAAGGTAGAACCAGTGTGTCAGCACTGTTTGATGCAGTTTTCAATAGTTGGTTTAAGAAAGTGATGTCTTTTATGCTGCTCTCTTATTTTTAGAACTTGCCTCTGTCCTATATGACCCTGTGAATGGCGTACTGACTCATCTTCATGAACCTTTCTACACAGTTGGCAAGAAGGTGACTCTTTCTTGTCCAGGTGCATGTCTTTAGACAGTGTGTCAGGATTTCTTTGTGGCTCCAGTCTTTTTATTTTTTATTTGAAAAACTGCAGATTTATTTTACCAATTCAAGTCTCTATGCTAACAAATAACAATTACTTCTATGCTGCCAGGGTCTTTCTTTACTGTTTGCATTTCTGGACTTGAGAGCGCCAAATCCTAACCAATAGACCACCTGTGAAGTTTGTATTTCTGGACTGGAATATGTTATGATAAACATGCTTTTTGTAATGAAAAACACTTTTTCCTAGAAGGTTATTCTCCCAAGAAAATTCACAGAAGACAGCATTTCATCAGTGTTTATAGCACCTTAAATGTTAAAGCCTTTCAGTGCAAGATAAATATCTCAACACTGAGATCAAACTCTTGGAGAAAAATCAAGTGGGTTATTTAGAAGTTGTAATTTACCAGGTATTTTAATGAATTGCTGGATTGTCCTTGGTAGAGTCATTAGTTTTTAGGGTTTCCTTCACATGAACTATTTTTGGTGCCTCAGTTTGTAATCAGGATAAGCTACCACCTTTGCAGTGGCTCTAGAATAGCTTTAAATAGATGGTTTGTGTGGCTCCAGTCTTAAGTGGAGCCCTGAGATGAAGAATATTTGTGCATACCAAAAATGAACCAGCACCTCAGGATAAGGGGGCCGGTTTATGGACAGTGTGACAGTTATTCACATGGCACACATTGACTTAAATGGGGACAGGCAAAGATATCCCAGGGGTTCTGAAACTTTTCATTTAAATCATCGATATGAAAGATTAGTTTTGTATCTGTTAGGGTGCCAAGAAAATAAAGGCTTTTTAAAAGCTGATTTTTAGTTTTTCCCTATACTTTTATCAAGTACAAGGTTAAATTAATAATTTCTATAAAGTTCTATTTGCTTCATATCTTCATCCTCAGAAAGCTAATACTAAAATTGAATATTTAAAAACAGTAGAGTTTGCAAAAAATTATTGAGGGAAAATATTGTAGTTGCGTATTGTCCTTAATGGTGAAAATCTAAAATTTCCAGAATTTCAAACAGTAGGCAAATTAACCTTGAGAGCTTGTTTGGAGGTTCTAGCAGGGTAACACAGCTACTCATCTATCCTTGACCAAGGAACAGTCCTCCTCTATCGGGGGTGGTCATCCTCTTCAACCAAGTGCATAGCTTTGGGAGAGACCCACGTGAATGGTTGAGGGAGGAAGAGGACACCCACCTAGACAGCCAAATGAGCCGAATCAACCCTGGTGACCAATGGGGTGACAGATGTCGCAGCCAGATCACCCTCATATCAGGGAAATTGAAATGTTCTTTTGAAAATTTAAGTTAGAAAGGATTTTTAACTCAATGCTGAAATTTGTCTTTTCTCCTGAGCATGAAGTGCTAGATTCTGTAAGCGATCCTCTTTGGTGAATTAGACATCTACAAGTAAAAAGATAGAGCAGACCATGGGCAGCAGGCTCCTGACGGGAGACATGGGTGATGGTGATAAACAGGCAACAGACAAGAGGGCAGAAGTGGATTGGGGCTGTGGGGATCTTCCATGCCAGTTCTCTCAGGCCCTTAGCTGTCAAAATCTGTAATAGAAGACAAATACTTTGTTTTCTATGCTCACTGAAGCACAAATATGAATTTATTTGGTATAGACAGAAGAATCCACCTGAGCCTATAATTTTAAAATGAAAGAGAATGATATACAGTTGATGAGGCTGTACTTTTGTTCCAAAGAAGGTTGTACAGTTATGTTTCTGAAATACCTACTGCAGTCATTTTGGAGCACAATTTAGTTAGAATTTCTTCATTCAGGAAATTCCATTAATGTTGGCTTTATTAAAGACTTTTTCAGACTTCTTTTTCTGAAGACATAGTTAACAATCATAACTATGCTTAAACCTTTAACCAACCAATTGATAAACAAGAAATCCCAGGTTTGGCAGCCTCCAAATTTGGTGTTTCATAATAGCTTAAGAAAGTAAATAAATAAAATACCAAATAGTTCAGTAGTTTTTTTTTTATTGTGGTAAGATGTTTTTAATATAACAATTACCTTTCAAATCACCTTTAAATGTATAATTCAGTGACATAAACACATTCCCCTAGCTACAAAACTATCATTATTGTCTAGAACTTTTTTGATTTTTCTAATCCAAAACTTTATCCATTAACCAATAACTCCTCATTTCCCCATGTTTCAATGAAGGCAACATTGAAGTGAACAAAAGCACAGACTCAAGGAAAGCCTCAAGCATGTATTTATTCAGTTAAACAAAGATAAGTGTGTATTTCAAAATACAAAAATCTTTGGTAATCTTATCAATGATTTGTTTTGCAAAGAAGTTGTAAAAATTTTTAGCAAATGTGTAAAATCTACCATTGTAAAATTTACCATAAGATGAAGTTTGAATGAAAATGAAGAGCTAATTCATATGACTTTTTCAGCAAACTCTAGTTTGGTTCCTCTAGATTAATATATCTCAACCTCAGTGGCATGGCTGGGAGGGCCTGTTCTGTGTACCACATGATATTCATGAGCATCTGTGATCTTTACCCACTAGATGCCAGTAGACCACCCACCTACCAAGTATAACAGTAAAAGAAGTCCCCAAATATTATAAAATATACCTTTAGGATCAATAGTTCCCTGGTTGAGAATTAATGATAAAGAAAATACTACTTAAAATCATTTTGGATTTCAGAGAAATTGCAAACATAGTTTCCATGAATGTTTCACCCACCTTTCCTTCTTATATAAGTTGGTATAACAGTTACTTAAAACTAAACAACCTAACATTTAGTACAATACTGTTGGCTAAACTAAATACTTATTCCATGTATCACTAGATATCTAAATAATGGCCTAGAATCCAACTCAGGGCACTACATTGGGTTTAGGATAATACCATTTAAAATTGAAGCACTTAAAGAAGAAGTAAGTGCATTGGGTATGGCATGTCTGCTTCAAATTGCTGTCATTTTCCCAAGTTTATGAATTGGCCACAAGATTGTATTCTTATGTCTAAATCTTCTAAAATTTCCAAAGTAAGGAAGCATTCCATAGTTCTTGTATTCATAAAAATCCTACTCTTCTGATAAACTAACTTTATATTCAATGAGATTCTAATTTTATGACCCAAAGAATATGCCAGTGACTTGCTTTGCAATGAAGTTGGCAGGAAGTGGAAAAATTAGCGTTCTAAATTATTCACCTTGCAACCAGCTGTAGCCAAGGTGATGGAGCGAACTGTACTCTTGTAAAATATACCACGATGCTTTTTTCCCCAAAATTGAAGTGACAGCCAACTTTTTAATCCTTTTCTAGAAAATACAAAGTAATATAAAGAATTTTGTTAACATAAGCACATCTGGATATTTGCTCACTGTTGAAAGGACATTTACCTGCCAGAGGTTATATACTGCCTTGGGATGCCAACAATATTTCCACGTATAACTCATGTTCCATTATAGATTCAGGGGGCAAAATGCAGTACAAGCAATGAATAGTTCATAGTTACCAACTTCTTGGAAGGAAGCCAGCTTTACTGGCCTTGAATTCAGATAAATATGGACTTAAATTCTGGCATGGTGAGTTTGTTAAAGTTATGAATTAATTGTAATTTTCTAACTTCTCTGACCTTTAGCTTTCTCTCCTCCTAGGTGAGCATGTGTTAGGGAAGATTAATTATAGCAATGTATGAAAAGTGCAAGACCAATTGTAAATGCTCAAGAAATGGTAGCTATTCTCATCAGTGCAATTATCTGTAGTGTTCCTGTTAAACTTAGAAACAATTATTATTGTCCTTATTAAAAACTGGAATCGATGAGAAGAAAGATTTATGCTAAGGGTGTTTGGACAGGATATCATGTCTGCATCTTGCACTATAAATAACCACTACAAAGACAACAATATGCAATGTATTAGTTATTGAAACTGTCCTACTAATCGATTCTGAAACTGTCTCATTCCTCTGTTTCTCAATAAAGTTAATAAAAAATAACAAAAAATAGGAATTATAATAATACTATTATTTTATTATTGATATTTTAGAGACTCTTTGCAGTAGAAAACATAGACCCTGGTTAAAAAAATTAAAACATTACCTGTTAACTACAAAGAATGTCTCCTTCAGTGATTGCATCTCCCTTGCGCTTTTCCTTTAGGCAATCCCTTAACACAGACACCGTCTGAATTTTAGCTCTTGGAGAAAGTGCAAAGTTCAAGATGTGTTTGTAAAAGGTCCTATGAATGTGAGTGAGTAATGTTTTTGTTCACTTTTATGTTTTATTTTATCCAGGATAAATGGGATGATTTGTTTGATGCTAATGCCTATTGAATTGAAGGTATAGGTTGTCAACTATTAAGGGTCTTTGCATTTTTATCAGATCCATCTACTCCCTATTATTTCCAGGAGCCATCAGGTTGAAGGCCATTTATTAAGCAGGGTCCTAATCTGGGTACCCTGGCAGGTTGAAGCACTACTTGAGTGTTGTTTGTTCTACATATAAAATGGAACAAAATGACAAAAATTTACAGGATTGGGCTAAAATTTCCTTAAGTCATGAACACTTAAAGCAATACTAATAGAGAAAAGAGCAGTTATTTTTTTGAATTTTATACCCTGCTCTCTGTATTTGCATTAGCAAAATGTCACTAACCTGAAAGTACTGCACTGTAGGAGGGTCTCCAAAGTAGCTTCTACATGTCTGCACTACAGTTCTAGTTGGGTGCAGATGGCACAGTCAGATTATGTCAAGAAGAAGTTTGTTAGCAAAGTTCTTCTTTATAAGAGTTTGGGCAGAATACAGAAAGCTATACATCACAGGGCAGTGCCCCTGAGTCATTAACAGATCAGCCACATGTCTTCACCAAGGCCTGACTGTGGGAGAAGAGGGTCATTTAGGGAACTGGAGACAGTGGGCTACATGATGACTGCTGAGGAATTGCTCACTCTCCTTTTGGAGACATCAAATAATCATGAGAGTGAGGCAGGGGGTAAACACCCAACTGCACTCTTCTCCTTGTTATCCATTGCCCACTAGTGCTTCCCACTGACAACATCCACTTTAAGCTAGTGTGTCAGAAAGCAATTATGTGGCCCTTACACACTGTCCTTGCCGGAAGGTAGGGATGGGTGGAGAAGGGTCTGAGAAGTGGGAGATGTCCAGCTCCCAGACTTAGGTACCATTGTTAAGATTCAGACTCAAAATACTGATTTACTAATTATTTGGCTTTCATTCACTACAGCCATCAAACACATGTCTAACTTTATAAGCCAACAGCGGGTAATGTTGAATATGTACATTCAGTATACTGAATTACTTTTCTCTCCTTCCAATTTTCTCAATTCCTTTAGTTTATCTGTGGCCCATTATTTATAAACCTGGTATGAGTTTTCACATCATTTATAAGGTGGCATTGTAAGGCCTCTGCCCATTCAGTTGTTTTGAGTAGTTCTATTTAGAGTTTACATGTAGAAAAAGGTGTATATAAGATAAAAATGTTTTTGTTATGTAAGTAATTCTAAGTAAATTTAGCTCTTGGGCAAACATGAAAATAGAGCTAAATAAAATATATGAGTTTATACTCTTTTCAACCCCATCTCATGTATAAAAAGTGTTTTTTGGTCTTCCCTTAAAATAGAGCTTTTCTTGTCCACCAGCATCCAGAAATGTTGTTTTCTAGTAGTAGTATTTCTAAACAGTGTATCTTACCATTTTATCACCAGTGCTTAAGAAAAAAATGTAGCATATTTTATGAAAATATTTCTAAAGAAGCTTGTAAACATTTATGCTTTAAAAAGTAGTACTGAAAATATAGTTTTCTCTTCCTTGATGATTTAGAGTCACTAATTATTGGATAACACTGTTATTCTGGACATGAACTCTCAGGGTTTCTGGGCCAGAAGGAGCTACTTTCTTCTATGGTCAGTGTTTTGTTTGGCTACACTTTCTTTGCATGTTTGATCTTGGCTGATTTTCTGTCTCCTTTACTTTCCACCCATCAGCACTTGCTCGCAGACCTGTTCTCATTCAATTTGCTGCTTCTGGTCCATCTCAGATGGAAGTAGATCGACACTATGTATCTCTGCTCACAGCAACTGTGAATACATACAGAATAAATATGTTCCTTTTGAAGCCCTGAGGAGACAGTACCCTAAGAATGAAAGGGAGTTGAGTTGTTGTGTCATCTTTTGCTGTGGGTGGTAAGTATGGGACAGTGGTCTCAAAGCCACCTTCTCAGTTTTCAAGAACAAAGTTTTTATAACTAATGCCATTGTTCTTTTCAGATCTTCCTTGGAAGTGAGGGCTCACGATGAGAGAAGCAAAGGTATACTGCCTCCGACAATTTGCAAGACGTGTGTTCTCCACTGTTGGGGTAGGAACTCCACTCTTACTGGATTGCACAGCTGTTTTCTGCCTGCTTTGGCCCAGAATGCTTGTGGTGCATGTCCATTCTGGGGAAAATGTGATGGTAAAGAGAATTTCATATTTGTAATTATGTGAGTGCCAATATTACTGAGGTTTTAAACAATGTAGGTTTTAGTTTGGCAGTGGATCAAGCCAGATACTTAAGGGTGTCGAAAGCTTAGAATGAATTTCCCATGAACCTTCTTTCCCCACTTTTCTCCCTGGAGAGGGCCATGAGCCAGGTGCCTAAGGGGACAAGAATTCATCCCTAATAGTCAGATGTTTTCCCAATCCTTGGTGATTCCCAACCTGTCTGGCAACTTTTGCTTTGTCTTTGTATTATCCATATCATATACTCTCTTCAGAAAAGACTCACATAAAAATTTTTCAAAAATAACTTCTTTAAATTATTTCATTAAAATGAAGTATCACTTAACATAAATATTTGGTGACTGGTCAGAATACATAGTGGAACATACTAGAGCTGCACATTCTATCCAACTGTTACTCTAAGATTGACAATGCTCTCCCTTTGTGAAAAGGGAATTTAACAAATGTTAGAAGGTTGCCAAAAGCATACTAGTTCCAAGCTGACACTTTCTCCTGGAAATAGAGGGATTCAATAAAAACAGTAAAAGGAGTTACTTTCTTGACTTGTGACACAATATTTGCTAGGGGCGAGGAATCCTGCTCACAGTTTGTACAAACCTACGAAAGTAGAAGGGCTGGGTTCCTGAGCCATCTTTGTCTTGGGTTTTTCTGTCAGGTAGGAACCTGAGTTGTATCATCATAGGGTCTTTGCTAGCTCTTTTCTGCTTTTCCATCCTGGACTACTGACTGGGGACTTTTCCTTGCATGTCCTTACATCTATTTGGGTCACTGTGGCTTAGTGACCTCCATTGTCTGCTGAAAGGCCATGTTATTTCCCTCTAGAAGACTCCTGACATGAGTATTTCTGCCAAGCACCTTTTCCATACAAGCCCTTTTTCATCCCTAACACAATTCGGCTTTGTTTCCATGGGATACGTAGCCTTTGTATGTTTTGCCTTCTTCTCAAAGAAAGTTCATTCTTGACTTTCTGCTCTTTGCTGAGGTCATGTTATTTGGTGTGATCTAGTGTGTGTGTGTGTGTGTGTGTGTGTGTGTGTGTGTGTGTGTTGTGAAGGGTTATTTCTATTGCTGATTCACGTGGATGTTGGTGTGTGAGGAGAGAGCTGAAGAGTTTTTGACTTGGCAAGAATTGCATCATGTGAGTCCAGCCAAGAGGAAGACTTTTGTTCCCATTTATTCTAGTGGAGCAAATGTCACAATTTCCTGGTCCGAATTGCTTTTCCAGAGGAGAGTTTACTGTGCCATTCCAGGCAGGAGCAGTGTAAATACCACTGCATCACATTAGAGGTAATGTGCTTTGAGTCACCTACCTCCAAGGTGTACCAATAAGCACCTCTTGCTTATTTTTCCAGAGCCACAGACATGTCTGCTGAGAAGCATTTGAGTGCCAGGAACAGGAGCTCGACATCTGCGTGGAAGAGAGTGGCAAGGAGCCAACAGTGTCCAAGTGTGATGCAGAGGGCAGACATTTCTGTTGCCAAGTATGAAGGCCTGTGCAATAGACCCCTGCAGGCTCCCGAAGGCTTTGGTGAGGTTTGGAATCCACTCTGCTGGGCAGAGTGGAAACATCTGCATAACCGGGCACTTAGGCTATTTTGCCAGCATGAATGCACATTCTTTCTTTCTCCTTCCTCTCTAGCATGCTCTTCTCTTCTCAGCTCTCAGCCGTATGTATAAGCAAGTCTTCTGTTTTTCCAAATTTGAGCCAGATATTCTTTTTAAGTTCTTTTTTAAAATTGCAAGGTGAAAAATATCCTTAAGCCACTGTAAAAGGTAGTTATGTGTTCTTGGAAAAGCTCTCTGGACTTTGACATTTTTGCCTGTACCAATAGATTAGACGAGAGACACCTGTGTGCTTCATTCGCCCCTATTCTCCTATTAGGTGTGACTGACCCAGGCCATGGGCCAGAACAAACTCCACCAAACAGATAAAGAAAACTGAGAGAATACAATTTCCTTGTTAGAGAGGTTGACGTCCCTTAATGAAATCAAATACAAGGAGGACCTTGAATGAAAAGACAGATGCAATCATTTTCATCTTGAGTGGAACTGTCATGCTTTACCCTGAAGAGTCCGTTCCTATAGGCGGTGATCTCTATGCTTGTCAGAAGACTGAAGTGCTTTGATGTCAGAGCAGAATCCTTTGAGTTGTGGTCTCATTGGGTTTAACTTCTTACTCCAAAGTGGCCCAGATGCAGTACATCTAAGTTACAAGGAGGTAAGTTTTAATTGATTGAAAACAACATTTAGACTTGTCCACTGCATTTCCTATGGTTATTGTGGAGTTAGTTTCTACCTGGGACTGGGAGATATATTTGAAAATACTGGACCTTGGATGTACGCGAAAAAGATACAGGCTAAAAAGAAATCCCTATGAGAGGCACCATGTTAGTGTTCTTTCAGTTAATTTAGTGCACTATGGAGCCAGACTTCTGTTAATTATGTATCATCACCTGCCCTTCCTAACTAGTACAGAGGATATGGTTGTCATTATCAAATGCTGTCAGAAATGGAGATCTGAAATAAAAAACTACAGATGAATTATCTTTCATATGAAAATCTAAAATCTGAAATGCTCCAAAACCTGAAACTTTTTGAAGGCTGACATGATTTCACAAGTGGAAAATTTCACATCTGGATCCTCATGATGGGTTACAGTCAAAATGCAGATGCACTAAAAACTATTGAATATAATTACCTTTAGGCTATGTGTATTAGGGTAATGAAATATAAGTGGATTTTGTGTCTAGTCTTGGGTCTCACCACCCCAAATATTGCATTATCTATATGCAAATATTCTAAAATCCAAAATATTCTGGAATTAGAAATTCTTCTGGTTGTAAGCAGTTTGGATAAATAATATTCAACTGATAGCAAATTTAACAACTAAAATTTGACAAACAATGTCATCAAAGTTACTGAAGCAGAAGTAAAAGACTGGTGAATCAATTGAGAAAGGAAGAAGTAAATATCCTTGTAGAGACTTATTACTTTAAAGTTTTGTGCCTCTTTTTAAAAAAATTTCCTTATATACATTGATCTTTCCTCAAGCCATGCAGCCATAGCCATAACTACCTACAGAGAATTGAGATTGTTGCAGTATCTGTAAAGAGAAGATTACTTTTTAATATTTATTTATTTTTTATGTATTTGGTACAGAGTCCCACTATGCAGCTCAGAGTCATAGTGATCCTCCTGTATCAGCCTTCCCGAGGGCTGGGGTTGCAGGTGTGCACCACCATGCCTGGTCTTGGTGGCTGGCACAGCATGTTATGCCAGGGATCGAACCCCAGTTCCTGTGCATGCCTAGGCAGGTGCTTAGTCTGCTGAACTATCTCACCAACCCTCAGGAAGGTTACTTTCAACACTGACTCTTTAAAAAGGGTTTTGAAATTTATAAAATAAACTTCAAGGAATATAGAGGGATGTGGGAGACTCCCCTCTGCCTCATTGCAGGAGAGGGTCACCTGAGCTAGAACAGGTGACAGCCAAGGGGAAGTCTGAAAGCAGAGCTAGTCAAAATGATGCAGACCTAGGAGGAAACAGAAGGGGAGGAGAAAGAAGTTGTCAGTTGCATTAACCATTGCCAGTTTCAGGGAGCTCTGTAGGTACCAAGTCAAATCTTATAGACTTCCCTCACCTTCCACATGGAGATTACAAGTTACTTGAATGATAGGGTACCTTGAAAGATTCCCTAATATTTTCCTGTGACATCTTACACATTTTCTAATACTCACAGAAGTGTTACTTGTCAATGCCCTGAGGTTGCGTGAGTCCCATCCCAACTGCTCTTCATGTATCCTTCCCCCATTAGGACACTTTGGAGAAGAGAGAGGGTTATTGTTATTAATGTGGAGTACAGAGTACCAAGCAGGGGCATCTTGCAGTAGCACTAGGACTCTGAGTTTTCTGACCAAGTGAGTAGCTGATTAAATGAGGACTCCCCTGCTACCCGGGAAAAGCGTGGCTAATGCCAGATTCGTGGGAGGTTTGTGAACCTGTGCAAGTGTCGAGCAGACACTCAGATGCAGGGGCTGCTTCACTCAGCATTCCCTGAAACAATTCATGAGTTCACACAGAAATCATTCATTATTTTATGTTTTGGCTAAAATGCACACATAACCAATTCAGTTGGCTCCTAAGGTTTACCATTTGTTCTAAGTTTTTTTTTTCTATTCAACCCAAATTTCTTTTTTTTTTCTTTCCTTTTTTTTTTTTTTTTTTTCAGAACCGGAGATTGAACTCAGGCCCTTGCACTTGCCAGGGAAGCACTTATTCTACTGAGCCATCTCCCCAGCCCCCCAAATTTCTTTTTCTTTAATTTTAAAAAGAAAAGATCTATAAAAACTATGGTATAAAGTTTCAAAACAAGGTTTTGGGAGAGAATAGTGGTTAGTACGTTGACTATTGTCATCTTGAAAGTAGTTGCTAGGTTATAAGACATATATATGCATGAAAAATTGATCAAACAATATAGGCATAAACCTTTCTTTTCAATGAACTAATGGCAATTAGTAGTACAATTATCTTAACTATCATATCTATCATATATCATCTATCTATATTTTTTTCTCCCTTCCTTCTTTTCTCTTTCCCCCCATTTCCAATTTCTCTTTCCTTTCGATCAGTTTCTTCTCATCTCACAGTATCTATTGTATAGTTAAGGTCTTATTTGCTTTCACTCAAATTTCTTATACATACATACATACATACATACATACATACATACATACCAATCCACTGTATTGGTGAGGAGGAAAGATTTATCTTGTCTCATGGTCTTGAATCTTCAGTACAAAGTTCACGGACTCCATGCAGTTAGGCTTCTGATGAAGGTGGCCCAGCATGACAGGAGTGTGTGGAAGAACAAAAACATATTTGCTTTAAAAGTCAAGAAACACAGAGGAAAGGAAGAGCCCAAGGTGTCACATTCTCCTTCGAAAGTTTGTTTCCAATCATTTAAAGCCCACCAGGTCCATAGCATCTCCCTGTAGAGCCACACTAGAGACCAAACCTTTGGCACATAGCCCTTTGGGAAACACTTGCTCAAACCACAGCATGCATCATACACTGGAGATTAACATAATAGGCAGTGAAGGTGCTCACTGCAAACTTGAAGATAAAGTAAGATGCTGTATAGTTCAGGTCTACTTACTTCTCTTCCTCTGGGGCAGGGAAAGAGGTAGAAAAAGAGCAACAGAAGAGAGGAAAGTAGAGAGGAAAGAGAAAAGAAAGATGAGAGAGGGAGAGAAAGAAAGGGGGGAGGGAGAAGTAAGGAGGGGGAGAGAGACAGAGAGAGAATGAATATGGGTCATTTCTAGAATGGGATTGGAAGAACTGACAAACACTGTAGTGCTGGTATCTGCTAGTCCACTGAGAGTTTTCTTTTCCTGAAGGGCTGGTTAAGGTGTGTGCAGTGCTTGTGTCAGAAACAGAATGGGTACTTTCTCTTACAGACACTGAACTCAGTAGGAGGCAATTTCTGTTAATAGCTGAAAATCCTGAGAGGCTTATGGCTTCTTTTCAATTACCTTGGTCTTTTAGGCAGTTCGCACATTTGCGCACAAGAAAGTTGATGGCATGATAGGAGTTCCTGCAGTGACAACCAAAGCCCTACAATTGCTCTTTTTATTTATTCCCATCAGGCTCTGAAGGCAGTGCTCCAGCTCTGTGCTCAAATATCAACTGCGTAGGAAAATTCACTTTTTCAACCATGGGTTAACAAGCCCAGATGGAAACATTGTGGTTGTTTTGGAAGGGGTGGGCTGAGGTGAGAAGGTGGGCAGGAGAAGAAGAAAGAGCGTGATAATGTTCTTTTTTGGTTCACAAGATGAGGATAATTTCCTGTGCCAGGATAAACATAAAGCATTGCTTGACTCTATTGTCACTGTTATTTCCATTCATCCTTATGAGAAGAAACTGGCAACTGTGTTCCTGAGCAGGGGCTTCTCCACACAACAGACCTCTGGTGCTCGAGGAAGGGGCTCTTTTGGGGCCACTTGCAGTTCAGAATGGAGTTAGGACATTGGCTAATTTCATCCTTAGGCAAGCCTCTGAGACTACTTGGAGAATGCAGTAGGAAATGAAGAAGGAGGGATTTCTTATCTTGTGTTTTTCAGTGGCTCACAAATTGAAAAAGAAGTATGAGTTACATATATTTGGAAAATTATATTTTCCAAATTTATCTGGCCCTCAGGATAACTATATGATTCAATAAATAAAATCCAGGACAGTTTGTCCAGAAGGAATAAAAATAGGTAAAAATATTTTGTTGGATAAATAAAGTTTGATAAAAAAGTAGAAATAAATGCCATTTTTTAGGTCATGAGTTGGTGATTTTATAATACATTGTCACACAGGTGACAGACAGAGAGACACACTGCTAGTCAGGCAGGCAGGCAGGCAGACAGACAGACAGACAGACAGACAGACAGACAGACACACACACACACACACACACACACGTTTTGTAATAAACTCCACTGTC